AACATGAACTGTATTCAAGGGTCGCAGCATTAGGAAGGTTGAGAGCCACTGCTCTAGTGGGTTTGGGAACCACTGACCTTGTGCTTAACAGCCCCACCCACTACGCCACCAAAGCGAAACACATTTGCTTTTATAAAATACCCATGAGAACTATTTTTGTTCTGAATTACAAAAATACTCATCACAATTTTCTCCTTGAAGTTTGTGGGGGACCTGTGTCAATTTGCCTTTCCTGTTAATGTTTGTATCTCTGCTTCTCCATCAGTTGTATTTGCATCCTCCTAATGAGCAAGAGAGGTGAAAGCTGAGCTCGCCAGCCAGAACAGCTAGTGAGAGTTGATGTTGATGTTTCCCCTCTGGGTCTCACTCCCTTAGATAGTAATTAGGATGATGGCATCAGAGCTGATAGTCTCACCTGAGAGAGTAGAAAACTACTGAGCCATTGAGTGAGCTTATGTGATTCATTGTGCTGACAGTATTGTCTGCATATTTAGGACAGTGTTTATGTAAGGACTGGCTCTATAATTTTGTGTTGTATTAGTATTTTTTTTGTTTCTTTGTTGTATTAGCATTTTTTATGTGTGCTGGGTAAAAGTGTTTGCAGCAAAGGAGTTTCCCACTCAAAAATTGTTGCAGAATTAGTTCTGTGACGTTGGTTTCGCTCCCCATAACGTGTCCGCATGGTCTCCATTTCCACCCCTCCAGTTTCCCTGGCCCTCCTTGCTGTCTCAGCAAACAAATGTGGCTGGTTTGGTTTCCTGTAGCTGATTGTTCTAAGGATCACAGTCCTCCCAAGTTTGTTTGCTTTAAACAGGTGACTGTATTGTTTGGCTTCAAGCTGATCTCCACAAGTGGCCTCAGTTTCAGGTTATAAAGGTTGTTTTAGGCCAATAGTCTCCGATTCCTCCAATCAGTCTTGTAAGTGTGGTCTTTTTAGGAATATGACTTTTGCTTTACATTTCCCCATTTTGTCCAAGACCCTCTGTTATGTCCTTGTAGCTAGGGAGCATGTAGTTCTGGTCTCAGGCTAAAAGAGGCATGGACCATTATTCCTCGGGGCTAATTTCTTCCTTGATTCTTTGATTTCCTTCACTCGTCTTTGCTCCAGATGGAAGGAGATCAATATTTTTTATCTTAGATGGCTGCTCAAACTCTACTCACCACACTAGGAAAGCAGGTATTCGAATGACTCTTTCCACAGACACAGATACACAAATTAATTCATTAGCAATTTGGCAAAAACATTGTTATCATTTTAATATTCATGGTCAGCAATTTTTTTTCAGTTACCTAACATTCAAAATCCTACAGAAAGTAAATGTAAATGTTGAATTTTATTTTGTTGATTTTCTAAGTCTGTAGTCTTGGATTTAAAGCTATTGTAGCTGGATTATTTTCTATATCATTCAAAATAATTTACTTAATTCACGCAATGCCCTTAACCAGTGTTTGCTCAGATGCATCATAGCTCCTTTTCATGAACTATCTAATTTTCTTTTGCCCTCTTTCCAAGGACTCACCTGCCATTGGCCCCAGAGGTCTTTTTGTGGGAGACCTTGTCACTCATCTACAGGATTGTCCCGTTACTAATGTGCAAGATTGGAATGAATGCCTAGATACCATTGCCTATGAGCCACAGATTGGTTATTGTATAAGTGCATCCACTTTACAGCAGTTAAGCTTCCCGGTTAGATGTGAGTATATTTTCTCCATGCAATACAGTGTTTTGAGCCCCGGTATTTACCATGCACCCCTCCTTGAATTTTGTTTGGTTCTCATCTTTTCAAGGCTTATTAGTAAAGGGATCAGCCCCAATGAGTCGGCATTCTTCTTGGTAAATCGGTACCAATAAGGATCTTTCTCTTTTTATTTACTGTGTAACTTCTCACTAATTTTCATTTTATAGTGGGCATTAAAGAATCTAGTCTAATTCTTCTTTCTGCTTTCCAAAAAACTGCTGTGTTAAGTCAATGTTAAACCCCAATGAAAACCACGTCACTACTGTATATACTTGAATATAAGCTGACCCGATTATCCGCCAAGGCGCCTAATTACCACAGAAACTGCATTTAAAATGTGCTGGAAAAACTTGGCTTATACTCAAGTATATACGGTAAGTTCCAGTAATTTTAAATACCCACTGTAAATAACGTTTTATTTGTATCTGTATAATTCTATTAATTGATTTATACATCTATAAAAGATAAAATATAAATATAAGCATATATGGTTCTCCGTTGTGACTAGAGATAAAAGAGATGACCAAATATGGTCATACAAAGTGGTTAGTAATCCAAAAGTTATTTGTGTTCAATTTAGAGTGGAATTCAGTACACATAACTAAAAGTCTCGGAATTTACACTACTTGAAAGCAATAATGTGGCCGTGGGAAAATCTGACTTAGGAAGAGCTCATAAACTGTTTCAATCAATAATGCCTAGCCTCTTACTTTATACCTGACCTCTCCTAGGTTTATACTATATTTTAACCATTTTTATCTGATTGTAATGAGTAAGGTATTCATTAAACAGACTAGATGTTTTCCCTAAGAATATCAAACAAGTAGATTTCTGGCAAATGAAAAATTTTGCTTTATTCACTGTATAATTTATTAAATAACTGTACATGTTAAATAACTATATTTTAGAAAATTATTGGAACCTGTTTTTTTCCTTTGGTTAATCCTTTCTCTCTCCTTAAAAAAAAACAAATAAACAACCTGCTCCATGAGGAATGGCACCAACATAGTTTAGGCTGCGTTAATTCCACCTCTACCTAAGGGCTGGTCGCTCAACGATGAATGGAGACGCTGGAAGGATACTGGTGGGGCTTGAAACCCTTTGCACCTGGACTAGATCTCTGGGTCGGGATTGAAAGCCAAACACTTCTCCACCGTTGACATTCAAACCTTTTAGCCTCACTTGCTGTCCATCTGCATCTCAGTGATTTCACTCCAACTGAAAGTGAGAGCCAAGCACCTTATGGTTCCTTTTGGGAACTATTTTCCTTAAAAGTGGTTTGGAGCCTGATCGGAGTAACACACCCATTGCAGAGTCTAAATTCGGAGTTGGCGTTGTTTTTGTTTTGGCTTTGTCCTGAGAGCATTACTTTTAGTACTTATGCCAGCTCATTCATGGCCCTGTAGAATAGAGAAGAACTACCCCTTTTGGTTTCCTAGGCTTTAAATCTTTACAGGCATAGACCGTCTCATCTCTCTCCTCATTCTCAACTTCCAATTCTGTATTTTACCCAATCCTGTGGGAAATTTTGGTCATTAGACATGAATTCTTAAAATAATCATTGATATCAAGGCAAGTGGTATAGAACATCATTTATGTGTTGGATGCATATTGTCTTATCCACCTTCTATAAAGCACTGAGGAATTACAGAAATAACTGGGAAACCTCCTCATGGACTTAGTTGAAGAAACAAGAAGTCCCCAAAGTATTTCAGTGCCTACAGTGGTTGCCCTCGAGTCAACTCCGATTTGTACTGGCCCAGTGGACAGAGTGGAACTGCCCCATAAGGCAGTTTTCAAGGCGGGCTTACTTATGGAAGAAACCCTGCTGGCTCAGGACATTAAGGAGTGTGCTCTAACCACCCGCTGCCCTTCAGGAGAATGGTGAGGCAGTCTCATTTCCATCAAGATTTACAGCCTTGGAAACAGCTCTGGGCCAGTTCTACTCTGCCCTGTAAGGATCACTTTGAGGCTCAATGGACTCAATGGCAGTGGGGTTTTTGGTAATCTTTCTAGAAGCATACTTCAATCACTGACCAACTTTCTAGGTAGCAGCCAAGTGCTGAACCACTGCACCCCCAGGGTTCCTTAATTATTACAGTATATCGTTCAATTGAAACAATGGCAGGCCATATTGGGAATTATAGGAGAGGACAGCAGTCCTTGACTGAAGCTGAGAGCAAATTTCAGAGCAGCCATGCTCAAGCTGGGCCTCAAGAGTGAGCTTAATCCCAGGAGGCCCAGCTAAAAATGAGCATCCGCTCCAGACAGTAGACGTGGTCCGGGACCTGCTAGTAATTCAGTGTAGCAAGAGCACATTTAATATGAGCTGATGGTAAGGGGATAAGAAAGTGGCGCTCCTCAAGTTTCAAGCTGTGGAGTTTAGACTTCATTTGGGGGTAAAGCAGAATGTGTGACCAGTTAGGGTTAGAGAAGTTCCACGCTTGGAGCTACACATTTGGAGATGAATCAGACGCGGTCGCTAGGTAGGACAGCTTGGCATATAATAGCAAGGTGGGGAGCAAGCAAACTTGTTAGGCGTCTGTTCAGTTGGATCAAGGGAGAAAGAATTAAAATCTGAACTCAAATGGGAACAGAGAGAATAGACAAGGAGGAAAAAAAGGAGGAGGTAAAAATTGATGAGACTTAGTGATTAAACAGAACAGAGTTTGAGCTTCGGAATGGTTTTGGAAATCTTAAGTAAATTGTTTACCTTGTACCTCGTTATTAGAGTGTGTCTCAGTTACTTAGCGCTGCCATCCCAGAAATGCCACAAGCGAATGCCTTTAAAGAACAGAAATTGATTTTCTCATAGTTCAGGGGGCTAAAAGCTTCTAGGATAAGGACCTTCTTTGTCTTCTTCAGCTTCTCGTCACTTAAAACCATTCACTGCCATTGAACATATTCCGACTTAGTGACCCTATAGGACAGAGTAGAAGTACCCCTGTGGGTTTCGTACTTTAAGTATTCAAGGGACTAGAAAGCCTCCTCTTTCTGCTGCAGAGTGCTAGTGGGTTTGAATTGTTAACCTTGTGGTTAGTAGGCCCACTCCTAAATTCCTGGGCTTGTCCATACGTCTGCCTCTATTGTTATATAGTGTCTTGACTTCCATGTATTTGTCTATAGTCTACTCTTTTTATAACTCAGTAGTGATTAGGTTTAGGATCTACTCTACACTGGCGTGGTCTCATTAATATAGCAAAATAAAGTTTCCTGTTTCCAAATAGGGTCATAGTTACAGGTAGAGAGATTTTAGCACATTTTTTGGGGGCGGGGGGCAGAATTCATTTGATAATAAAGTGGACAAATTGATTCCAGGCACATGTTTGTCTGTACCCTCAAACATTCACAGATCACTTTAATACCAGAAATATTATCTGTCCTCTCCCCTCCAAATTAAAATGCTCATTCAATTATATTATGAAAGCAAAACTCCCCACACACCCCAGCAATTCAGAGGAAAAACAGGTGCATCGCTTACTTTGCTTTGCCTCTGTTCATTCCAGCTACCAGGTGCTTCACTTTGTGTTGGCTGAGGAAAAATCACAATGGTATGTGACTAAGGGAGGCCCAGTGGAACCTATACAAAATGTCTTCCTCAAATAAACACACACACAAAAAAACCAATTTTATATACCAATAAGCAAACAGAAATCTTTTGCTGAAATACAAGATCCTTGTAAAATGACATTGTCTGTGAGAGAGCATTTTCACACAAGTGCTAAAGACACACTTGGATGAGAAGAGCTTTCCATATTGCTAGGGCACAGCTGGGCTTTTGCTCTTGACTCTGTCTTCTTCGGCACATCTGAGCATGGTCATGGTCATACTCATAGGCATATAAAAGTGTAACTCCAACTGCCCTTGTCACATGTCAATTTCTTATTTGTGTGCTGTGGTATCGTGGCACAGGAAACCTTCCCAGACAAAAAGGAGGCATCATTTTTCAGTCCCACCTGCATCTATGATTTCACTTCTTTATTCTACCCTAAATGCAAGTGAAGCTATTCACCAGGGAACTTCAGAAAACAAAGCATGGCAACAACAACAAAAAAAAGAGTTCCCCTGTTTCCACTGATTTCCAAACAAACTGAATTGTGCAGACAACTGTATGTTCACCTGTGTCTTCCAAAGGGGCTGCCTTGGTTCTTTGGCTAAAGCTTCAAGATAAGCCTGCTAGGGAGAGAAGTATTTGAAAACAATCGATGCCTAGAGTGAGACCCATACCTTCTCAAACCAAACCCACTGCCGTGGCATAGATTCTGACTCATAGTGGCCCTCCCTAAGGTTTTCAAGACTGCAAGTCTTTATTGGAGCAGACAGCCTCATCCATCTTTCCTTAGCGCCTGGTGAATTTGAACCTCCAACCTTGTTAGAAGCCCAGCTTATCCCACAGCACTACCCAAGCTCCTTGCCCATCTCTTCACTCAAAACAAACTCACTGCTATCAAGTGCATGCCAACTAACAGCAACCCTATAAGACAAGGTAGAACTACCCCTGTGCGTTTCCAAGACACTGTACCTGTTTACAGGAGTAGAAAACCTGGCCTTTCTCCCAATGAGCAGCTGGTGGATTCATACATCCGACCTTTCGGATTGCAGCCCAACTTGTAACCACTACACAACTGGGGCTCTTTGCCCATCTCTTAGGCATCCCTTAAATATTTGTGCTTGACCAACTAGAGTTCTTACTGTGAAACCTATTGAGGCCCTGGAGCTGGAGCTCTTTGAGTGGGTGCACCTAACCCGTTGCTTCTTGATTTCAGATTAGACAGAGCCGTGGGTTAGTTTTGTTTTTTAAACAGTTCTGTTAGCATATAATTTAGATATTGTGCAATTCAATACTTCCATCGTATTAAAAACAGTTGTGCAATCATCACCACAATCAATTATAGGATATTTTCTCAGTTAGGGTTTTTTTGTTTGATTGCTTAATATAAAATCAAAGTACATGTAGCTATCATACTGAATTCGAATTATGCTGTTGTTTCTAAATTCTTGTGCCATGTTACTTACTCATTTTTTTTCCTTGAAAACAAAATTTTGTTCGGAATGTAGTTGCATGTAAGGAATTGTAATGAACTGTATTTCTCTTTAGCGTACAAACGACTAGATGGTTCCATGGAATGTTGTAGCAATCACAGCCTCACGGATGTTTGCTTTTCCTACAGAAATCATTTTAATAAGCGATTGGTAAGTTGTCCCTGAAGCAGTATTGCTTCTCTGATAGAATCATTATGAAATAAGTGAAGAGAATTAGAGTGAAATCTATTAAAACTTCCCCCTTTGCTCCATCTATCATTTTATTAAAATCTCCATATTTCTGATGTCACAATTTATATGCAAAGCTTTAAAAATAATATTGATAGTATTTTATTTGGAATCTAAGTGGATTTTGTTAGGTGTCGTCGAGTGGATTCTGGCTCATAGCGACCCTATGTACAACAGAAGGAAACACTGCCTGGCCGTGGGCCAACGTCACAATTGTGATGTGTGAGCCCATTAATGTAGCCACTACGTCAGTCCATTTCAAGGAGGCACTTACCACCACCAACCACCACCCCTGCTCAATATTGGTGTAGAGACTTTACCACGCATGGCATCCTCCAGGGACTGGTCTCCTGACATGTCCAAAGTATGTGAAACAGTCTTGCCACACTTGCTTCTAAGTGTGCCCGAATGGTTATAGCTCCTCTAAGACAGATTTATACTTCCTTCTTCCAGTCCATGGTATTCATTCTTCTTCACTAAAATAATCCAAATGCATCGGTTTTTCTTTGGTCTTCCTTATTCATTGTCTAGCTTTGATATGTATATGAGGCAGTTAAACACCATGGCTTGGGTCAGGCACACCTGAATCCTCGACGTGACGTCTTTGCTTTTTGACACTTTAAAGAGATCTGGTGCAGCAGATTTGCCCAATGTATTATATTGTGTGATTTTCTGACTGCTGTTTCTGATGGCATTGCTTGTGGATTCAAGTAAAAATAAATTCTTGCCAACTTCATATGCTGTCTGTTTATCATCCTGTTGCTTATTGGGCCAGGTGTGAGGAGATTGTGTTTTGTTTACATCAGTTAGTGCTTCGAGTCTTCTTCACTTTCAGCAAGGAAGGTTATGTCATAGCCATCACAGGTTGGTGATGGGGCTTCTTCCAATCCTAATGTCACGGTCTTCTCGTAGTCCAGGTTCTTGGCTTACTTGCTCAGCTCAGCATACAGATTGAATGAGTATGGTGAAAGATTACAACCCCGGTGCACACCTCTCCTTGTGTTAACTGATGATATTGAGCTTCTCCATCTTCTCTTTCCACAGATAGAGTTGATGTGATTCCTGTGTATTCCATCTGGAGAGGTCCTCCTGTATAGTCACTGTTTATGTTGTTGAAAGAGAGATACTTCCACTGATGACGTCACTGGTCTTACAAAATTCTCTCATGCACACTGGCATAGTTTCTCTCAGCACGGCCATATTTTCCAACTACTGGTTCCTCCTCTTTGTTTCCAACTTTTACATGTAATTAATTTGTAGTAGGTACACATAAACACCATTTCTTTTTATATGGATTTCATTCCTAATATGTTAGATGGCATGAAATATACTTAACAATATAACTGGCATTTTTATTTTTAAATAAATCATTGTAATATTGACCAATTAATATTTTGTTTATAGCATACATGTCTACCTGCCCGGAAAGCTGTTGAAGCCACTCAAGTTTGTAGAACCAATAAAGATTGTAAAAAAGGCTCAAGTTCAAGTTTCTGCATAATACCTTCGTTAGAAACTCACACTCGCTTGATTAAAGTGAAGCACCCACCTCAAATTGACATGTTGTACGTAGGCCATCCACTGCACCTCCACTACACAGGTGGGTGTTCTTCAGACCCGCAAGAAATCATGATCACATACGTTCTCAGTGATGGAAACATGCAAATCCTTTGCTTACTTCTCAAAGTTTTGTTGATTTGTTCTTAAGCTTTAAATAAGTCGGCAGTAGAAGAAAACCTAAGTTTGTAAAGCAAGATGCAGTTGGTTCTCCTGTGTGCCTGTGCAAAGGAACACATTCTTCCTTTGCCACCCTTTATTTCCGAGCCAAATTGGTAATTGCTCAGATGTTCTCTGAGAATGGACCGAATTAATTTGAACTCCCCAAAACCATAGGGAGCAGCAAACCTGAGAGAAAGCCAGGATGCGTGGCAGATGTGACCCTCAACTAATGACACATGAATTTCATATGAATATCATTTGTTTCTAAATGGGGCAACATGACTGGATCAAGTATTTAGCTTCTTTGTATGGCTGACAGTCACATCTAATGCATTTGTTGTACACGATTTTGTATGTTTCCTTTTTTATAGCAGCTTTACTCAGGTACAAATCATATACCATACAGTTTGCCTATTTAACATGTACAATTTATTGGCTTCTGTATATTCACAGTTGTGTGCCCATCACCATAATTAATTTTAGAACATTTTCATCACCCCACAAAGAAATTGTGTGCCCTTCAGTGGTCCCTATCCATTCTCCCGGACCACACCCCACCCCTCCTTTGTTGTTGTTGTTGTTGTTGTTGTTGTTGTTAGGTGCCATTGAGTGGATTCCAATTCATAGCGACCCGATGCACAACAGAATAAAACACCGCCCAGCCACGCACCGTCTTCACAAGTGTTCCTATGCTTGGGCGCATTGGTGTAGCCACTGTGTCAGTCCATCTCATCCAGGGCCTTTTTTCGGCTGACCCTCCACTTTGCCAAGCATGATGGCCTTCTCCGGGGATTCATTTCTCCTGACATCATGTCCAAAGTATGTGAGACGAAGTCTCGCCACCCTTGCCTCTAAGGAACATTCTGGCGGCACTTCTTCCAAGACAGATCCCTTAGCACTTATTCAATCGTCTCTGTATCTAGACTGTGTATTCTGGGCATTTCATGTCAATGGAATCATACAATCAATATCTAGTCTTTTGTGACTGGCTTCTTTCACTTAGCATATTGTTTTCAAGATGCATCCATGGTATAGCATGTGCTAGTACTTTTTAAAATCATACTCCATTGTATAGATAATACCATCTTTTATTCATAAATCCATTTGGGTTTGATGTTACTCTCAAAACCACTCTCAAATACTTTATAAGCGTTTCTCCAGGTATAACCCTGGTCATTTTCTATACTAATTAGTTTGACACTTAAGTGATCCGGATGGCAGACATTAAATACATCTTCAACAAATGCTGACACATCGAGAATTGGAGTAACTAAAAAGTGTGCTCTCTCGATCATTCTAAGAGCGTTTGTTAACATTTTAAACAAGAACTGGATGGTAGAATGGAAGAGACTTAAAAACTCTCCTAGAATAATCCTTGTTTTAGCACTGAAGAAAATAACTGAGTCCAAAAAGAGATTAAGTGGCATATTTGAAGGTAATGTGCTGTGAAAAGGAAAGGGCTTGTGTAAATTCTAGTATATTTTAAAAATCAGTTTCTGTATTTGGTAGTCATATTTAGTACGAAGGGAACATTATTTTATTTTTGTCCCAAAATAAGAATATGTGCTGGGTTTTGAATGTCCACCTTACACTGTTTTATAATGGATGCTCTAGAATAATCATTGATTTTTAGATATGTTTCATATGTTTGGGAAGGGCTTTGTTCCAAATTTAAGAGACTATGACAATTCGTGACCATATGTTACCGAGACTTGCTCAACACTGGTATAACTCCATAATGCTGTTATATTCACTATTACCCGTTTTCTCTTTGTAGTGAGCATCACCAGTTTCATCCCACGTTTCAACTTTCTAAGCATCGACCTCCCTGTGATCGTGGAGACATTTGTCAAGTATCCTTTCTAGTGTGAATACCTTTGGGAAGTACGTTACTTTGAGCTTGAGCAGTCTTGCCTTGAACCGTGCTTGCAAAGAGCTTTACAAGTAGCGATTAAGGC